TTCGAACTTAAAAACCAAAAAGGTGAGCAAGACTACTCGGAAATATGGAAACTTCCAGGAATTGGCACAGAAGAATTAATAACAGAAGAAGAAGAAAGGAACCAAATTTTGAAAAATTTCTATTCAACCGTAAAAATATATGACGGCAAGATATTCGTATGCTTCCCTTGGAAAAGTAACAAAAACAACCTTTCAGACAATTACAGCCTAGCTCTGAGCAGGTTACATCAGTTATTCAAAATGAAGGAAAGAAACACAAAATGCTGGAAAGAATACTGTGATATAATCAACGAACAACTCAAAAGGAAATTTATTGAAGATGCTACAGATCAACCGTTGGGAGAAAACCCATGGTACTACATACCACATCAAGCGGTAATAAAAATGTCAAGTGAAACCACCAAGACTAGAATAGTCTTGGATGCATCATCCAAAATGATTGGACAATTAAGCCTTAACGATGTAATACATCAAGGGCCTATGATGCTTCCAAATCTTATAGGTATACTACTGAGATCACGCATTGGCAATAAAATACTAATAGCAGATGTAGAAAAGGCGTTCCACATGATACACTTACACCCATCTGAAAGGAACTCAGTGAGGTTCCTTTGGCTAAGAGACACATCTAAACCACCAGTAAATGGCAACATACGGGTACTCCGATTTTGCAGATTACCTTTCGGTATTAATGCTTCACCATTCCTCTTGGGCATGTCTATTAAGTACGGATTATCAAAACAAGGTAATATAAAAAAGGAAATCAACGATGAGTTACAAGCAAACTTGTATGTCGATAATGTCCTCATGATCGACGAAACAACAGAATCATTGATAGAAAAATACAAAATATGTAAGCAAGCCTTCGCTAAGATGTCTATGAACTTACGACAATTTCTATCTAACGACCATAAATGTAACACGATCATAAACAAAGAAGATATGTCGACAAGCAAAACACCAAGAATACTTGGTATATTATGGAACCCGACAACAGATAACTTTACCATTGAATGTAGAATGCCATATACATCAAAAAGCACAAAAAGGAAAGTGCTGCAAGCAGCTCATGCAACCTTCGATCCCTTAGGTTATCTTATACCACTGCTAATTACAGCAAAACTATTTTTGCAAACGCTTTGGAAACATAAACGCAGCTGGGACGAAGCGCTAACCCCTCAGGAAGACGAGGAATGGCGAACCATCTGCAAAAATACGTCAGGATATGTGGCAACCTTTCCCCGAGCTATTGCAGCACGTAAGAAAACTTCTATATATGAGTTACATACATTCACGGACGCTTCCCTCAAAGCCTATGCTGCAGTAGTATATCTACGCACAATTGGTAACGGAGACATTCGAAA